CCCCAAAACCCCAAAACCCCAAAACCCCAAAACCCCAAAACCCCGAAATTTTGTAAAATAATTGAAGGCATGAATATGAAAAGTATAACTCATAACCACTCACTGACACCTTATCGAGGTAAATTCACAATATTGCTAAATAGCTCTGTCTAAAGCAGGTTTATATCAACTTTAGAACAAATGAGCAATAAAAAAAGAGGATATTATCGCTCTCATCGTTTGGTGAAGCCCATACCTTATATGAAAGCAGGTGCATCTCATAAAGGAAGAAATGATGATCTCAAATTGGTCTTAAGCTCTACTCAAAGTTATCAGTAATGAGCCTATCTTAATTTATCTAGACCTAACAATAATTAAAAATAAGACTATACTTGAGCAATTTGAAGCGATAAAACCCTTAATTAGCCTTAACTCCTGAACAGCTGAAGTTTCATCAGCTGAAAGTTCAATCGCTCGAACACCAGAGCCATTTCAGACTGAAATAGGCATGCTAAGCCAGGATGGCCTATTTATCTCTCCAGAAGGTAAAACTAAGTAAGGCTAAGATATAACTCTTGTATTCAGCAATATTTTTAACTCTATTTTAGCAACCAGGTAATTATTTTGGATAGCATCAGATAATCAGAATTAATTAAGTCATCTATTTTAGAATATGTCGTATTTTCCGATGCTTAATAAGAAGCTTTCTCCCAAAGGTGTGCTATCTGCTGCAGGAGAGTTCATGACTGTAAAGCCTGGCATCTCCTCTACTGATGAGTATTTGCTAAATCCCAAACAAAAATATCCCAGCAATTTCAAAGGGCTTAAAAGTCTCCAAAGATCTTTGACCAAGTAAGCTTCCACATAATCTTTATTCAGAGAGAATAAAAATCTTACTCCTTTGAAATAACAGAAAAGCATCAGGAAATACAAGAAAGAGAAATTTACAAAAATAAAGGTCTACCTCAACCCAAATTCTCAAGTATTTTATTGGTGGAATTGTAGATATTGCTAAAAACTTCAAGCTCAAGTCACAAGGGAATACTCTTGGGTCCAACTTTTGCAAAGTAAGTCTTATGCTCACATTAGAATCAACTAAAATCTTCGATTGAAACATCTCTTTCAGATTTGAATATAACAATCTCTATGAATAAACAAAAGAGGAGCAGAAATATGTGCAAGATTAGTAAGAAGATCAACAATACTACAATGGATATCTGTCAGACTAAACGACGAGAATCTGCTTTAAAGCTTCCTTCTACAAGTCCTAAAGACGAGGATGAGGAAGAGCATTCGTCTCAGCTGAATATTGAGACGAACTATGGGAACCAGAATGCTTCAGAGAACATTTCCATACCTAATTAAGCTTAGTAATGTTTTTCCCTAATCTCAGAATTTTCAAGGTCCAAGGGAAAGAAAATCTTTAAAACTTTACAAAAATAGCATCTTAAAAGACAAGAAAGCAAGTAAGACCTTATTTTTCACTTATTTAGAGCTAAAGCCTAACAAACGAATTGATAAATAAAATCAAAATAAACGCATATGGGTGTAAAATACATTACGGGAGTCAGATCTTAACTAAACGCCAAGATATGATTAATCCAGCACCAAGACATAATATAAGAAAAGTAGATTATTTGAGTTATTGCCTATGTATAGATATCAATGAAGGCTTCTTTAAAACCAATCGCATTAACAGGGAAATCTAACATCTCTCGGAATTTTCCAAGCCATAAGCTACATGGAGTTCTTGAGAAGACCTATGGGTATTTTTTTATAAACTTTAGACTTCATTTTGACAACCTGCAATATCCAATTTGATACGATGATTGGTAAGTCAAATTGATTAGAGACAAATCATGTAACTTCAGGTGCTAAATTCTAACCTCCTTATCTCAACATAGAGGATCTACCTTGCTTATTCTAACTCTTCCATAGAGAAACAGCTGACCAAGGCCTGAATCGGTTAACTTTGTGCATCTCGAAAAAGAAGAGATAACAAGAGGGCTAAATGAGCGAACTATAAAATATTTCAATACGAATTATTTTTGAAGGGGTTTTGGGGTTTTGGGGTTTTGGGGTTTTGGGG